TCCTAGCGTTTGAAAGTAAAATTAGTCATGTGACCAGTTTAAAAAGTATATAAGGTTTGAAGTCCATTGATTTTCATCAGGGAAAAATAGTATGTTTATTCTATTCCAACAAGATCATTTTCTTTTAATTGAAGGCCTCTTTCAGTGGGTTCTGAAAGTTATATTTCATTCCGCCGGTTAGGTTTTCTAGCCATTGTGTCCAGAGCAAGGGGATCATTATCAAATGGAATGGCTTTGGTATCCTGGCTCCAGCAGGTAGCAGCCTGATGATCGCAGGCAAGTCAGGTGACCGCTCTGAGTCTGCTTCCTCATCTTTGGAATGTGAGGGGATGTTCAGAGCCAGCCCCTAGTGTTGTGAGTGAGGGAATGCCTGTCCTGTTTTAATCCCAGAGTGGGTGCAGCTGTGCAGCACTGCTACTTATTCAGCAAAAGGGGTGCTATTCATCCAGCTAGCTGATTGGCGTACCTGCCAAGTTCTAGATATAGAAGCTGTGAAGGTGAAAATGACTTGATCCTGCCCCAGAAAAGCTTGCATTTGAGTCCATCCCTTGGGCCCTATGTCCTCTTGCCCTAGATTTTCTTGGTATGATTGAGACTGGGTCTGAGAGATTTGATTCTCTTAGTGGGTGGAAAGGTGCTCCCCCAGATGTGCCGTAGTTAACTTTGTCCTTCTTCACATTCAATGGCCATTTCTTTCACATACAATATGTCAGGTATAGTACGTTATACTAATGTGCTTGGCTTCAAATATAACTTTGTGGGACAAGGAGGGGATTTTAGCAGCTGATTCCTTTAAAAATTCTTCCTTATCACTAAAAATGAAACCTTTACCTGTCTTCAGGTTACATTTTCCCCAACTATATAGATTCTTTAAAAAAAAAAAAAAGATGGCATTCATGATTTTCTATATTTGCAAAACTTACAGTTTTTAAGTAACCTTTTTTCTTACTAGAGATGTAATACATGTTTGTTATAAAAAACTTCAGAAAGTATTTTTTTTTCCACTAAGAGAATACTGCTTTGTATTAAGTTACCTATCTATGATGATATAATTAACCGTGGTTTCTGAAAGATTCTGTGGTTACTGTTGGCTGAGTTGGCAGTCACTGACAATACACTGTGTCTCCTGATTCTCGTGTCAAATAAATTATACCCATGAATTTTGATTAAACGAATTACCATGCGTAAATCCCTAGTACATCCTACGTAAATGATAGATTTTGTTTGACCCCATTGGTTTATCATTGCTTTTAAGTGAGGGTGTCTTTGGAGATACCTTTAGCAGCCCTCCTTCAGAGGTAACTGTCCTTCAGCCCTATTTAGGTCCTGAATTAGTTTCATACCTGCAGGCTTATTTTGTTACTGTCTACCTAATGCTCTGAAGGGGAAATTTGCAGAACCTGGAATAATAGTATTTTTACAGCCCCTTTTATTCATTGACAGCCCATGAAACTAAAGTCAGAACACGCTCGTATGCTTTCTGACTTACTGACCATATCTTAACTATGTTTTCTGCCTGACTTTTGGAGAATATATTCGTGGAAGCTGGGCATTTAGTACCTAGGCAAACAACTTACAGGGTATTTAGTCCTTTGCTAACAACAGGAAGTTGGATTACATGGTCATTGATATTTCAGGAAATTAAGGCAAATCAGCTTTATACAAAACAAACCCAATGACTAAGAAACAAAGAGGTCTGTTTACTGTGGTTTTGTTGTTGGTGGTTAATATTGAATACACTTGGTCAGAGGGTTTTTTTCCACCTTACATTTATTCCAAAGATACATCTTTTATCTTTTGCTTGTGTTACCCAAGCCAAGACGCCATTCAGCAGTAAACCCGTTGAGTGACTTTTTCTTGTATATCATTATGATTGCTGCTGCCAACCCCTACATCTGAAGGCTGTGTTTTCTAGCCTTGCTAAAATATGAACTTAGCTTTCATTAGATAAATACCGAGTAAGATCTACATTTGTAAGTAGCTAACAATTTTCATATTTTTTAGACACTTATCACAGGATGTTTTTAGTACATTTGTTGGTGAAAATACTCCCTTGGCAGAATAATAGTATTAGGTAGTTATTATGAGAGAGCCAAGTTTTAGAAAATATAGTGATTTTTACCAAGGATTCCCAAAATAATCATGCCTGCTTACTTCAGTGGCAGGTAGTGGGTTTGCAGTAAAAATTGTTGGTCAGATTATTGAAGAAGTATTTTTAGAAGTACTGAAGAATTGTAACCTCTAATATAATTCGCTTTTTGGAGCATCAGTAATACTCAAGCAGACTTTTTTCCCCCCTGACTTACAACATTTCCTCACATAGTCATGCTCATAAATTTGGGGGGGAGGGGAGGGAGCAATTACTGATTCATTCCTTTGATGTTTGGGTGTCTCCATGGAAGAAGGTAAAGGGGAAGAGATAGGGAAGGGGCTAAGATTTGAGTAAACATACACAGATTGGAAAATGTTTGCTTTTAATATTTAGGTTCCATAACCAAACTGCCTAGAGATGAGTATTAATGTAACTTTGAGGGAGTGCACTAAGTTTTTATTTTTAACAGAATGATAGCGGTGAGGTTAAACGTGTTTTCTAGACAACAGTATTATTTGTATTGCTACCCTTTCCACTGATCAGTGTTCAAAAGAGAATATTTGTGTGCGTATGAAAAATAAAGTTCAATATTAATGTACTTTGGACAAAAACGTAAGGTAAGTGTATTCTTTGGCGACAGTTCCTTGATAGATTTATCCATCATACTATGTATTTGTTTAATTTATATATAGCACTTTTTAAATGTTTGGCACTGTTCTAAGCACTTTACAAATATTCATTTATCCAGTATTAATGCATTTAATGCTTAATCATTCTAGTTGTTAGGGACTATAGAAGGAAAAAATTTTTTTTTTTAAGATTTTATCAGGGAATTGGGGGAGGGGAACAGTGCTGGGGAATCAGGGGAAGGGGAACAGACAAGTTGTTGTTGTTTTGTTCTTCAGTCTAGTTGTGGAGGACGTTGCTTCACTGGCCCATGTTGGTATTATCATTGCGCTCTTCCTGGATGAGGCAGATTGGTCGCCGGCATCTGGACGGCTGCTCACGGTGGTTCTTGGCAGCTCACATTGGCTGCCAGCCACATGCGGTAGCTTATGGCAACCCACTGCAGCAGGGGCTGCAGCCTATGCCATCGCCGGTGACTCACGGCAGCCCAGCTCCAGGTCGAGCTGTTGTTCACCATCTTAGCTGTAGAGGGCAGTGTCACTGGCCCCCATGTGGGATCCGAACCGGGGCCCTCTGGCGTCCCAAGCCAGCTCTTAACCAACGCGCCACTCGGCCGGCCCTAGAAGGAAATAATTTGTGTGTAGTGTGTCTTGCTTTCCCTCTTCCCTTTCCCTTCTCCCTCCTCCTCCCCTCCTCTCTTCTCCCCTCCCCTCCCCTTCCTCCCCTCCTTTCTTTTCTTTTTTTAAATTAAAATTTATTGGGGTGACAATGGTTAGTAAAATTACATAGGTTTCAAGTGTACAATTCTGTAATACATCATCTATGTATCCCATTGTGTGTTCACCACCCAGTCAGTTCTTCCATCACCTATTTGGACCCCCTTTACCCTCATCTACCATCCCTTCCCCCTTACCCTCTGGTAACCACTAAACTATGTCTGTGTCTATGAGATTTTGCCTCTTTGTTTTGTTCATTTGTTGCTTTCAGTTTTATATACCACGTATTAGTGAAATCATATGGTTCTCTTTCTGTCTGACTTATTTCACTTAGCATAGTAATCTCAAGATCCACCCATGTTGTTGCAAATGGCATTATTTCATCTTTTCTCATGGCTGAATAGTATTCCATTGTGTATATGTACCACATCTTCTTTATCCAGTCATCTATAGAAGGATACTTGGGTTGTTTTCATGTCTTGACCACTATAAATAAAGCTGCAATGAACATTGGAGCACATATATCTTTATGGATAAATATTTTCAGATTTTTTGGGTATATACTCAGGAGAGGAATTGCTGGACCATATGGTAATTCTGTTCTTAATCTTTTGAGGAACCTCCACACTGCCTTCCATAGCAGCTCCACCAATCTGCATTCCCACCAACAGTGTATGAGGGTTCTGTTTTCTCCACAGCCTCTCCAACACTTGTTATTATTTGTCTTGCTGATGACAGCCATTCTAACTGGTGTGAGGTGATAGCTCATTGTGGTTTTTATTTGCATTTCTCTGATGATTAGTGATGTTGAGCATTTTTTCATGTGTCTGTTGGCCATTTGTTTGTCCTCTCTGGAGAAATGTCTATTCAGGTCCTCTGTCCATTTTTGAATTGAATTGTTTCTTTTTTTGTTGTTGAGTTGTATGAGTTCCTTATATATTTTGGATATTAGCCTTATTGGAGGCGTTGTTCCCAAATATCTTCTCCCATTCAGTTGTTTGCCTCTTTATTATTGATGATTTCTTTTGCTGTGCAGAAGGTTTTTAGTTTGATATAGCCTCATTAATTTATTTTAGCTTTTACTTCCCTTGCCTTTGAGGTCAGATTCATAAAATCCTCTTTGAGCCCAAGATCTTAAGTTTAGTACCTATATTTTCTTCTATGCAGTTTATTGTTCAGGTCTTATGTTTAGGTCTTTGATCCATTTTGAGTTAATTTTCATACATGGTGGCAGATGGCAGTCCCTCCTCTCCTCCTTTCATGGGCTTGGTTACTTTAGTCTTCAGACTGGCAACAAATCCCTGTCTCATGGTATTTCTGCTTTCAGTGCTCACGTATGTGAAAGGTTCCGTTGCGAGATTGTAAGGAGCTTGGACCAAGCTAGTTTCCGTGTTATAATTGTAAAACTTAACATTTCCAGGAAATAAAGCGTTTAATGAATAAATAAATCTATACCTAGTCCATCCCCTTTTTACAATCATTAAGCGTATTTTCTATTGATATGCTAAAGGAGTTATTAGAAATTATGTTAAATTCTGCGATGTCTCTGTCCCTGTCCTTTCCAGCATGCTTGAAGATGACCTTCAGCTTAGTGACAGCGAGGACAGTGAGAGCGAGCAAGTAAGTTCTGTACACCCCGTGACACCAGGAACCTTTTGTAAATCTGTCTAACATTCCTGAGCTGCTTATCCTAACCTGTTTTTTGTTCTTTTCCTGGTCCTTCTCCCCCTTACTATGAACGCCTAGACCCCAGAGAAGCCTCCTTCCACATCTGCACCTCCAAGGTACCGTGTGCTCCTTTCTCCTCATCTGTGCAAGACATTTGCATTTCTCTCCAACTGGGGAAAATACAACCTTATTTAGTACTCCCATCGCTTCTTCATGGGGAGGGATATGGAGGTTCACAGTTAAAAGAAAGCACCTGTTTAATATTTTGGAAGCTTCATTCAATCATAGAGAGGTTGTTAACTCTTTAAAAGAGAAAGAGCCCCTGCACCCACCCAAATCATCAGTTTGGGTGATGAAAATTTTTGAGAGTTTAAAGTAAGCTTAAATCACTTCCATCAGTATTATGTAACCAGTATTTGAGAAGTTATGCTGAAGAGCCTAGTGTTTTTTAGAAAGTGACACACTTCCCGTGTTTTCAAAAATTATAAAGCTGAATTTTCCATAGTGCCTTTTTTCTTGGTTACATGAATTTTCTAATTGTTTCAGTTGCTTTTAAAAATGACCTGCAGTCCATTTTAATGTGATGGAAAATGGCACTGTTTTCATTTTATGAGCAGCGGGCTGTATTTTAAAAAATGTGATGCTTTAATTTTCGGAAATGGGAACTCTCTGAACCAGCTTTCTGTTTCCCTTTGGTACCGGATTTAATGATTTAATATGCCAGCACCTGACCTCCACAGATAAAGAAGAGTTAAAGTATGCTGTAGCTGTTTTACTCCCTTGAGATGGGGTCATCCACTGCAAGCCAAACTCAGCAGTAAAAACCTTCCTCGCACATGTGATGTTATAGTTATTGTGGAGGAAGCTTGAGTAATTGTGCAAGGTCTTGAGGATTCATAAGCCCTGCCCATTTATTTATATCCTATTTTGTTCACTAATTTCTGGTGGCTTATAGTGACTCATAAAATATGACAAAACAGCCTAACTTAAAAGTGGAGGAAAAGAAAAATAGAAAAAACAAGATGGGGATAAGTCAGAAGCAGGAGTAACACTGGAAGTGGATCTCATTCTGTCATCACTGGCTTAAGCTACCTGAGTGATGGTCACAAACCTGATGTAGCATTTTGTATGAGGAAATTATGTCCTAGTCTAGTGTGTTTATTTTTAAATTACCTCAACTAGTGGTTTTATTTATCATCGAGTAATTTTTTATTCTACTTATTCTCATAATAATTTTATTTAATAAATTTATCATTTAATGTTTTAGGTAGATTTGGAGGCTTTCAAGATTCTAGTTGATTTATTGCTTTGGCTAATTCCATCAAGGCAAAGTTTTAAGATAACCCTTTGAAATTCTGTGTATGCGCAGCAGTGTGATCAGTATGTGTTTCCTAACTGACTGAGAGTGACTGCCCTGTTCTTAAAACTTGCAGTAGTTAATCCCTACTTTAGCTGATATTTGGGATCATCCTAAGCCACTCGTAAAGAATGGCCTGTTTTATAATTCTGCCCATGGGTGTGACTGTGCCTTTGAGGTCACTTTCCAGAGGAACACTGTTTGTGTTCAGTAATCTTTGACTGCCATACAGTTAGTTCTCATATGGAACATAGAGGGAGTTTTTAATGTATTGGCTTATTTCATAAATTAACTGCTTTGGGTTATAGATAGCAGAGGTCAGCCAACTTAAAGTGTCAGGAAGTATTTTATTTAAATATTGGTGGGCCATAGAGTCTGTGTTGAAACTAGTTAACTCTGCGTTTGTAGTATAAAAGCAGATACAGAGAGCACACAGAATAATGGGTGTGGATATGTTCCAATAAAACTTTATTTAGAAAGACAGGCAGCCAGCCCCTGCCATGGCTTGCCAACCCCCAACATGAAGCACCTGGCATCTGTATAGCTCAAAATGTTCTTTAGGAGCAAAATTCCACAGGCTTCTTCTTTATGTAGTTATCTGGTGAGCTATTTTAAGGGTATTTGGTTTTTTTTTTTTACTGATTTTTCAGCTACTGTGGGCCTTTTTCTCAACTGGATGATATGGTAATTTAGTAAGCTTAGGTAATATTGAGGCCCTTCCTGTCAAGCTGCAGAAAAATGGGCAAAGCAGGAAATGAATAAAGAGGGGGAAGAAATCCACCTTGTGTGGTGTCTTCAGATGGTCTCTCTCGGTTGCTTCGCAGCGCTCCACAGTCGCTTCCAGAAGCAGCGGCCTCAGCACATTCCAGTGGTGCCGAGTCAGAGAGCACCAGTGACTCAGACAGCTCCTCGGACTCGGAGAGCGAGAGCAGCTCAAGTGACAGCGACGAGAATGAGCCCCGTGAAACTGCGGCTCCTGAGGTACCGTGTCCCCTCCAGGAGGCAATCTAAGATGGCAGCATTCTGCCTTTTGGGGCTAGCGTGCTGGGGGCCAGACCCTGACTGTGGGACTGAGTAGTTTTTCCCCCCTGGGGCAATGCTTTTCTGCTCCTCTCCTGTGGAACCAGCTGTTTCTAGTTACTTATTTCTTACCAAACATTTGGCAGTGGAGGTTTGGGAGCGAGGTCTTCTCCCTCCTGATAGGTTCTTCTCTGTTGTCGCTGGTGTTGTTTTGAAGAGCAACTCATTAAGAATGTTTGCACACCGTTTTCTTTTCCCTGCTCTTGAAAAAGTGAATGCGTTTTTTAGTAGGCTGCTGTTTTAATATTAATGAGAATTCTTTTTGAAATTTCAGGAATGCATGAATTAAGGAAATCAAAAGTAGTCAGCCTGGTTTAGCAAAGGGCAGGAACGTGAACTAGAAATAAGTCATCAGAGGTTCTATTTTTGAATCACTAAAAGCAATGGTTAAATTGATGGCGAAGTGATTTTGCCAGGGTTGTGTTTCTTGCACCCTCTGCCCCATGTAAAACAGGGATAATTGTGTTTGCCTGTCACCTGCCCTTGGGACATATTGTAAAGATAAACAGATGAGATCAAAAAATCTAAAGCACTGCATTTATCTAGAGGATTTATGCTATGTCCTGGATTGTCGAGCACAAGAAATTTAGTAACAACTAAAAAAGGTTGCCAAATGCCCTCAAAACTTGGAGTAGCAATGTAAAAATTATGCTGGCTTAGGATACTTAGTGAAAAGGGAAAACATTTTTGTTTTCTAGACCAGCTTGTATAGAGAAAATTATTTTGCATATTTAAGATGGGAATGCTGAGAAATGAGACTTTCTGATTAAGAAAGTGTTAAAGTTTTTTAGTATTTGTCTCTGCTGTTTAGAAAGCAAGGCAGTTCCACTAGAGCGTTAACCAAATCCATCTGGAGATCATGTAGTGAGACTCAAGAGCCACGTCTGAGGGCAAGGGAGGCTGAGAAAATAACCGAGTGTCATTTTTTGTTAGATATGAGTTTATGTCTGGCGCAGAGCAAGTGCTCAATAAATATTTTTTTGGAGTGAATAAACATAGATCAGTCTTAACTGCATTTGAAGTGCCTTTCAGGTTTTTGAAACTACTCTGTGTTTCTGGGGGTTCTCTGTTTCCTTGTGTGATACTAATTGCTGTTGAAATAAATTTTCTATTCCTCAGGGAAAAAGATATTGAATATGTTCTACAGAGGCCTTATGTGATTGTTCACTGTTAATGTTTACAAAATCTTTGCTTTGTGTCTCACCTTATTCAGTAAGAAAAACCTGTATGCTTGTTAGGTTACTGATAGAAGGAAGAGAATTTAATTAAATAGTAAAATTTAATTCAGATAAAATGGTAAAGGTATAGATTTGGCTGAATAGTTGAAACTTGAAAGAAAGATTTAATCTGGTGTTTGATTTAATGAAACAATTATATCTTGTTGTTCAAGAGGTTACTGGAATAGAATTAGAGACTCTTAGATAAAAAAATAAATGTTCCCATCCTACTTCATTGCCTTCCTGAATAGGCTCACATTTGTACCTTTGCATGTTGCTGTGCAAATCTAGACTTGGGTATGGTTTGTATGTTATATATGGAGGTTCAACTTCCCCAGAAATATTTTGTCTTTGTCTAGATTTTAAATCTTTAATTTTCCCAAGTTATATAACTATTTTTTCCTTTTAAAATAAATACTTGCATTATTGTAAATCTCCTGTGTCGTTGAGAGGAACATAAATTCCATACATAATAGGCCATAGTTACTAGTTATAACTTTCTCAACCTTTTCGTTTTTCTATTTTTAATGCTGAGACATTTTTTATGCCTCCATTTTAAATTCATTTGACGAAGTAGTTGAATGATCTTAGGAGAATCTGAAATGTTATATGCACGCCAAAAGAGCTGGTGGTAAACTTGGGAAAAAGCAGATTTCAGTGTTTATTTTATAGCGGGAACCAAAATGTAAACTTCAGTGTTTTGAAATATATGGGACACCTTGCCTTTTTACTGCTCGAGTAAAGTTCAGAAAAAAATGATTCTGGTCTCGGTTATTCAGGGATCTGCTTACTTGTCTCATCACTCATCGTCCGTTTCTTTGGTAGTAGACTCTCTTGGTTGATTGCTGACGAGGCTTGGTGCTTTTTATGAACTACTTGATTTAACCATCCCTCAGTCCTAAAAGGCTTGTAGCTTTCTTTTCACCTGTAAGGAAGGTAGCAACACTGAAGATGCAAAATCGTAGCCTTTTGATTCTGAAGCACTTTTATTTCCTACTACACCATGCTGCTTCTCTCCTTCCTTCTTTTCTTTCAAGTTTTGGATGCATACTACCTAACAGCTATGATGTTTTACTGGAAAAGTAGGCATATGTTGTGCCTAGCTCAAAACTTTTTATTCAAAATAATAATTTATTCTAAAATACATAAACTTTTTCCAATTTGAGAAGGTAGGAGAGGTAAAAGGACATATGGTTAAACATTTATTAAAATGCTTAATGGAAGCTGGCCATGCATTTTTTTCACTTCCAGTGTGCGGTGTTGGCCGTGTTCCAACCCTGGGAGGCGGGGGCGGGGGAGGGGGCGGGGCACGAGCAAAGGCAGGAAAAGAAATGGAAGTTCAAGCCTTGATCCTATCCAGCGCTTACACTTTTAAAATTCATTTTAAAATCTATTTTTAATCAATCCCTTATGTGAAAGTTTTGCCCAACACCCAAATAACATCTGACCTTAAAGGAATTCCATCCATTTTACATCTTTGTAGTAGGTATACAAAAAGAATTGCCTCTACCCTTTCCCCTCTATTTGGGCACACCTGCTCAGTTTTGCCCTGCAATTGGGCCATACGCCTCCCTTCTGGACATTTTTAGGACTGCAGTGGAAGAAAATGTGATTTATTTCTGTAACCAGGACATTCCTTTAGGGACTACTAAATGCATCTTATACTGCCCTGTTTGGAGAGGGAAAAGACAGATGCTACCTAGACTAGGAATGACTTTCCTTTTTGGTTCACACATAAGTGCTCTTCTATAGAGCACATCAGTGACTGGAGTACAGTTGTAAGCACAGCCCTGGTGAGATAAATCCTTACCTTCCCTGAGAAAGGGTTTGAAGGGTTTGGTGGGTTTGGTTCCTAAAGCGATTGGCAAGTGATGCATCCTAATGCTTTGTCCCCAGTTAACCGCTAGTATTAGCACACCCTCAAGTCTTTGCAGGAAATAATGTTTGACAAGTAGGTGTTCTGTGCTAATCTTTTCTCTACCCTTAATAATCATCCTGTCTTGTTAGAATATTGAGTACAGTTTTAGATTACATGTGACAAAATGCCTGGCACTTAAGAGTAGTTTCTTCTTCCCTCCCTCCCTGCACTGAAATTCAAATGTAAGCCTGGAAATAGAGTTGATGTAAGTAAAAGGAGCTGTAAAGAAGTTACTCTAATCAGCAATATAGGATAAGCAAAAAAAAAAAAAGATTGTGCAGCCATCTTTCTGGCCGAAGTATGGTCCTATCTAGTTCTTTAAAGTTCCTCTTAGTTCTCTTCTGTTTCAATCACACTAAGTCCAAATTGCCTACCTGATCATTTTATTACCTAACCTTTTCCTGGCCAAAAAGCCTTTACATTGTATCCACATATCTTTCATCTGTTAAGTTTGCATGTTTTTATAGAGTTGAATTGCTTGGGATATTCCACTTGGGAAAATTGTTAACAATCTTCCCTGCAAAATATTGTCCACCTACTAGAGTGATCTCCTTACCCATAATCTAATCAGTTAAATCTGTGTGGAATATCTTTCAGTTAACTTTCTAGTACATTGTGTATATGATTTAGTTATTCATACAAACCAGATGGATCTGAAGAAAAACATGTAGCATGCCAGGGATGTACTGCCCTTTAAAAAAGAATAATCAGTATTTACTCAAATAGACCCTAATATTTTTCTATTTGGCATAATACAGGTACAGTAATACATCTATAGGAATGCTCAAGTAAATATCTCATGTACACCACTGTATGCAAGACATAATAGTGGAATTTAGGGGTACAAAAGTCTCTGTCATTCTGTTAATAAGATCTAATAACCTAGGTAGAGATGGTTGGATGCATCAATCATCAGTCAGCAACTAAAATTTAAACAACAGTTGAGATAACAGGAGATGCCAAGAACTTCTGTTTTTTTGCCAAATCAGTTGCACAGATCATCAGTATACGCTCACTGCTCTGACTTGTGTGCGCTGGAGCCTCCCTTTGTGTCTTAGAAAAATGGGTGCTATTTCAGACCCGATGGCCTGTAACAAGAGACTTAATGCTTGAGTTTTAAAGACTTCACGTGGGACTAATGCTTGGCTAATGTGACCTCACATTACTCTTTTTATCAAGGTGTAAAATTTGAAAATGAGGGGGTATCTGTGACACACGGAAAACCTTGTCACATAAATGTTTATGATGTTTTAAGTAAATAAGAGAAATGATAGCAAGTCCTGAAGTAATTTTCAGTTGAAAAGTAGGTCAAAAGATAAGTCATGAGGCCCTTAGATAATCACCAAGACTCAATTTATTCATTAGCCTTCTTCTGAAAATCCTTGATGAAGGACTCCTTTTATTCTTCAGTTCTCCCTATTATAGACTAGTTTACAAGCCAAAATGTGTCAATTCTGTTTAAGTTAATACTGTAATTAACATTAGAACAAAATATTTATGTTATGAAGATTTCTTAGCAGTTGTCAGTGGTTACTGGTCAATATTTAATAGCCTATTATTAGTCAATATCTGCTTCAGCACAATTCCCATAGCACAAGAAAATTGGAAGATTGTTTTTAGAGTTAATTGTTACAGAATTTAACGTGTAATTAGAGGAGGTTACAAAGGGCCTGACTTCTTGGGTTTGGAATGATGACGCCTCCCCGGGACAGTCCTATAGCAGTGGGAGTGACACAAAAGAAGAGTTGATCATCATTGGTCAGTTAACTCTTTTCTCTTTTTTCTTGATTTTAGCCCGAGCCTCCTACAACAAATAAATGGCAGCTGGACAACTGGCTGACCAAAGTCAGCCAGCCAGCCGTGCCACCAGAGGCCCTGGGGAGCGCAGAACCCCCACCTCGGCACCCGGACGGGAAGGGCAAGGGTGGTGACAGTGGCACCACTAGTCACGAGCATTCGGAATCCAAAGATCCTCCCCCCAAAAGCTCCAGCAAAGCCCCCCGGGTCCCTCCTGAAGGCCCCCACTCTGGCAAAAGGAGCTGTCAGAAGTCCCCTGCCCAACAGGAGCCACCGCAGAGGCAAACCACTGGAACCAAACAACCCAAAAAACCCATCAAGGCCCCTGCGCCGGCAGACGCTCGGGCCAGCTTGCAGGTGGAGAGTGAGCTAGGACTTCCCCACAGCTCCAAGGACCAGCCTTCCAAAGACAAGCCCAAGGTGAAGACGAAAGGGAGGCCCCGTGCTGGAGACGCCAGAGAGCCCAAGCCAGCGGTGCCCACCCCCGGCGAGAGAAAGAAGCACAGGGTCGCACCCCCGGCCCCCTCAAAGGTGCTCTCGGGCCCGGAGCCCACGAAGGACAATGTGGAGAACAGGAGCCCTGAGCATTTTGCCCTCCTTCCCCTGACTCAGAGCCAGGGCCCCCTGCGCAGCGGTGACAGTGGTGGCAGGACTAGTGGCTGTCGCCGCGCTGTGGTGGTTCAGGAGGACCGCCGGAAGGACAAACTGCCGGTGCCTTCGAGAGACACCAAGCTGCTCTCCCCGCTCAGGGACACGCCTCCCCCACAAAGCTTGATGGTGAAGATAACCCTCGACCTCCTCTCGTGGGTTCCCCAGCCGCCTGGGAAGGGAAGCCACCAGAAGAAACCGGAAGACAAACAGCCACCGGCTGGGAAGAAGCTGGATTCGGAGAAGGAAAAGAGAAACTCAGACAACTCAAGCAAGTCCAAAAAGAGGAAGGTGAGTGAGGCGGACTGGGCTTCCCCTACAGGGTGGCCCGAACCTGCTCTTGGCTTAGGACTATCTTTGGCCCTTGGTATAGCCCTGAGTCGTCTTAGAAGAAACGGGAAGCCTGCTTGGATTCGATCCAGCCTATGCTTCTAAACCAGAGGTTACTCTTGCATTGCAGACTTGGGTGCTTCCCACTCTGCAGACAGGCGTTACCAAGTGCCGGAGTCCTTCAGTGGTCTCGCGAGTTTGATAAAAGATGAGGCAGTCCTGAGAAAGGAGATCTTGTAGGATAATGTAGCATCTAAGGGTACATTTTTATTTATTCTGATAACATGTTTACCACCTGGCCCATTAGATTTTTGCCCTAGAAATTAAATGGTAATGCAAGTTAATTAAAGGTAAATTAAATGAATTTAGATGTTAATTAGTATCTGAATTCCTGAAAGAACTTCTATACACTGAAATTTACTCCTGTAGTAAACTACTCATGGCTGCCTCATACCTCATAAATTCAAACCCTCCAGATTTAGAATTTGTGACCTCTATTGTAGACTTTTATTAATAAGCAGAACATTATAAACGAGGTTTTAGAGCTATTAAACTTATGGTTAGGACACCTTGTTGAATAATATCAGCTGGTATGGTATACTGTAAAGTATTGAAAATCTGCCATTTTATTTATTATAAAATTATGGAAGTTTCACTTAAGGGATTAACATAAAAAAGAAAAAATCCCTGCATTACTTAAGAGCATCAGTTAATATGAAGATATCACAATTTTAGACAGTCTCCTTCCTTCCTTTATTTTGAATCACTGAGCTCCTGATAGATTTTTTTTTTTGCTGCTGCTTGTTGATGAAAGATGAGTGAGTTTTTCCCCCAGCAGCATTCCCAAGCCAGCCTGCCCAAGATTGAGAGTGAAAGGCACCAGAAGAGCCAACTCTTTCTTGCCGAGAAGGAGTATAAGTTTTAACACTCTTATAAGTATACAGAAAACGTCTTACTCATCTGTGGAAGCTGAGCTAAGAATAACAAAGGACAGAAAGATCATGAAGCCCGCTGTCATGTCAGTGATTCAACTGATTACTCCACCGGGTTAAAAATATAACATGACTTTACCAAGTAGTGGAGGGTGGCTATTTTCTTCAGAACTTTGTTGAATGAGACATGAAGGTACTGTCACCATGATTGCACTGGGGGCAGTTCCACTGGGGTGGGATCCAGGGCTAATTGACCATGGTGCTTCAGCTAGAAGAGGGCGTATTTTCCTTCCTGCCAGAAAATTACTAAAAGGGTGTTTGTGTATTAAAGGTGTAAAACTTAATGGAAGAAATTGTGATGGACCTGGCTAGGAAAACGGTACCTGCATCTAATATACCTAAAAAGACTTCAAAGATATACTCACTTGCCACCGCCTCCTGGGAAATCTTTATTCGCCTATCCCTCCAGCTACCATGGTCTTGTCTAGTCTCCAACGCATAACTTCTGCATTCGCTGGAGTGGGGAGACCTATTAGCTTCTAAAATGCTTACTGGAACCGGGGAGAAATGTTAGAAATTGGAGGCTCCCCCTGAGAGTTATCAGCGCAGCCCACACTCTAATGCAAATCTGGAAGTGTTGCTTGCAGCTCCCCAAAGGGAAACGCAACCCTCCCTGTTGAGCATACGAACTGTGCCCTCCAAAAGCCATTCCCGGCTCTTGGCTGAGCTCCACTAGGGCAGCTCATTTATCTTTCTGTTTAGAGGATGGAGAAATAATGACCCCCTCATTTTAGTCAAGTGGGCTTTCTTTAAAGCCCTGGAAAGCCACCAAGAGCTCTGGCCCTGGCAACAGTCTGCCTCTGCTGTGGCACTGACAGGTCTGAACCGGTGGCTCCAAACGCTGGTTGCTCGTTATGGTCACCTGGGGAGTCGTTAGTCCTGGTGGCAAGGTGTGCGCCCTCAAACCCCCACCCCCATCGATATTTGTAAAATTCCCAGTTAATCCTAATACCTAGTGGGGGGCTGGGAGCCCCTGCAGCAGAGCCGTACTCCAAGGCCAAGATTGTACAAAACGAGTTCTTTGAATCGGGAAATGTGTGCTGTTTAAACACCATGGAGCTAGGCGTCCAGGAATTCCTTGCATGAAGTATGTCACTAGTTAGAAACATTACTTAGAAGCTTTCAGAGAAATCAATATAAAAATCAGCCCACTGTATACTTAGTTCATGATGAGAGCATCATGTGTCATTTGGTTTTACTTCCTGCTGAGTCCCAGATATTATTACTATCGAACATTATTAACCTCAGCTCCTCCCCCGCATGAAGCAGGCCTCCCATTTCCTGCCCTGACCCTGACCCTGACTCCTTTGGGTCAGGGCGTCAGCTGCTCCGTGGACACCCGGGACAGAGGCAGAGGCAGAGGCAGGGCTGTCCTCTGTTTAAGCTTGGGCACCTTTCCCCAAATTCAGGTAGTGGAGACTTACTTGTGTTCTTCATTTTAAGTGTGATCACTAGAAAAAGCTCTCAAAGGGTTTAGTGAGAAGGTTGAAGAATGTGCCTGATAATTCACACTAGTGGAATTTAGTGTTATTTAAAGGCACGTTAGGGCCTGCCTCTCTCCTGGTGCAAAATTTAGCAAATATTTTCAGAGGGTGAACAGATCCTTGAAGCCATTTTAGACTTAAAAGGGTGAGAAGATGCTCATAAACAGTTAATGGTGGTTACCAGCTGTGATGAAGCCATCGGATGTGGTACCTATAGAAATGTACATATATTATGTGTACATAATATTTTACTACAAGGAGTGGATAGGGTGTTCATGGGGAAAAGTGGAGAAAATTGTGAGGGTAAATGGGCATGAGCACACATAAATACTGTTTATATAAACTAGAGAAGTTCATCAGAGTGATAAGAATTTAAAATATTAATAATTTAGAAATTAAAATACAACTTATTTTTCTTTTAAATATATATGTTTTTTAGGGTTGCTGTTGTTTTTTGTTGTTTTTGTTTTTTAATTTTACTGGGGAACAGTGTGTTTTTCCAGGACCCATCAACTCCAAGTCAAGTAGTTGTTTCAGTCTAGTTGTGGAGGGCTCAGTGGCCCATGCAGGGATTGAACCGGCAACCTTGGTGTTAAATGAACACTGCGTTCTAACCAACTTGAGTTAACCGGCCGCCCCTAAATAATTTTTAAACCAGGGTTATGTTTTCAGGATTTGGAAGAAAAATTGAAGTTGAAAGCACAATATAATATACAATCAGGCAGGTGCAATTGAGAGACTTCTAAAAACACCTGATATTCATAGAGCTCCATGTATGGGCTAAGCATTGGTCTGGGCACTTTTATAGATACTGTCTCATTTAATCCAGTCATTTTATAGATTGCTGTTCAAAAAAATGCTAGACTGTCTTAATAGTCATTTAGATAAATAACAGGACATGGCGCCTATGGCCATACCACCCTGAACACGCCTGATCTCGTCTGATAACAGGACAGGGAGGTACATTCATTCAGGTCTTTTCCTTTTTCTGAATAATTGCTTTATTGACTGAGAAGCTTTGACATTTTTGGAAGCAAATTTCAGTTCCATCACTTAGGTGTTTTGAAGCATGGGGAAGGGAAGTTATGGAACATGGTGGGGAAATGTGCATTTCTCTTGCTTGAGGATGGTTGTCAGTTCAGTCCTTCCCTTCTAAGATCTGACTGATCTTTTCTTGGGTTGTTTCTCCAGATCAACATTCCCAGTTATTACCTTCAAAGTCAAGGGTTTGAAAAGTCATTCCTTCTAATCTTCTGAACCTAATTTCTTCATACTTGTTAGTTATCCTAAGGAAGAGCATTGTGGCCATGTGCACATTAAAGCTGTTTTAAGCCATTTTAATGCCTGTGTGTTCCCTTACGGAGAAGAAAAAAAAAAGTGAATTAATTTAACTTTTCTGTAGTACTTATCCCAGTGACTATATAACCTGTCTTCTCAGTAAGTCCCGCCTCATTCTTGGTGCTAACTTGGACTTGGCATCTGGTGTGTCATGTTTTTAAAATTACATTTAGTGGGGTGATATTGGTTAATAAGATTATATAAGTTTTACGTGTACAATTCTACAATACATATCCCTATATTGCATTGTGTGCTCACCACCCATAGTCTAGTCCCCTTCTGTCACCATGTATTTGACCCCCTTTCCTCTTTTCATGCTCTCCCGCCCTCCTTCCATTTCGTAACCACCATACTGCTGCCTGTGTCTGTGAGTGTTTGTTTGTTGGTTGCTCTCTGTTTTATATCCCACATGTCAGTGAAATCACATGGTTCTTGTCCTTTTCCCTCTGTGTATCGTCTTCTCATTGAAACCCCCCACAGAGGCACATGCCAGAGAAGTCCCCGAATTTCCCCAAAGGCTGCTTCTCTGCCTTTGCTATGCTCATTTGCTTCCCTGTGGGAGAAGTTGACAGTCTTAGAATTTGAGTGCTGAGACCTTACAGGTCACTTGTTCAGCTGCCGCCTTATAGATGAGATCCAGTAAGGCTCTGACATCACTTGGCTGCTTAGTAAAAGCAGGTTTGGAGCTCAGGTTTGAGGACTCCTCCCAGCACAGTGGGCTTTTTCTTTGACACCTTTTTTTTTTTCCTTGCACACAAGTGTCTGGTGGGGATATTCTTGGAGTCATAAGATCATAGTTCAAGATCAGTGCACTGACTCTGGCAGTTAACAGTATCAGCCCCGGCTCAATCCCTCCATTACCCACACCCCTGCCACCCCAGGGCCCCCCATGCCCCCACTCCTTCGCCATTTCCCTTTCCCTTTCCGATGCCCCTCATCTCTGCCCATCACAGCCAAGTTCCTAGGAACCTCCCTTAGCACCTGTTAGAAGCAACTATGGTCCCAAATGAGTGTCATTGCTGAAAAAGCCACCTCATCTCCCGGCTACCTACAGGTACCTAGATGGTGAGCCAGCGGCTAGGCAGGCACCAGGCTGCCTGCAGCGCTCTCTTCCACAGACCGCCTTGGTCTAGCATGGCCCTTGCTCTTCCTTTTATGGGCTTCATCCTCGCCCTTTGCTCCGCTCTGTGGGTGAGCAGCGTTTGGCAGATGATCCATGGCTGCCTGACCCAGCAGGTTAAGAAAAGCATCTAAGTCAGTCAGGACCAGGTTGTCAGCCAGCAGCCTCCTGTTGTAGTAGGCGCAGCACCAGTGAGACACTTATCCACCTGGGACAAGGAACGGCCAACACCCAGACCTCAGACGGAAGTCTCTGAAATGGGGGGTTGATCTGTGGGGAAGCCACAGAGCAAAGGAGACTTTTTTTGTTCTTCTTGAAGAGAGAGAGTACATCACTCTCATCTCATTTTCAAATGGTTTCTTGATCCAGAAAAATTTCAAAAACTCCTTCCCTCCTGTTTTCCAGTCTTGAAATCCAGGCCTGCGCTTCTTGCTGCCCAGCGTGGCGAGGCTCCCTCTTCCTGAGTCCATCCACTTCCGGTTGTAGCGCAGTCCTGTTTCCAGGGCCCTCAGCTGCGCCCCTCAGCTGCTAAACTGAATTTCCATGCCATTTAACAAATACTGAGCGCCTCCTCTGGGGAAGACTCTGTGACAGTTCCAGAAAAGATGACAGGGTTCCAAGTGGACAGTGGACAAACATACGAACCTCACACCCACAGGCCTGAACTCAGTCAAGCAAGCAAAATGAACAGAAGGGAGCTTTTGCTTTATTTGGTTTAATAACTAACTTTCTGCCAGCTTACAGACTATTAACAGCTTCTAAGTTGCTACATGTCAATTAATTACATTATTCCAGTAAGTGCCAACACAGTTGTTCATGCTGGCCTTGAAATCAAGGCTTGGTAATTTCTTGTTGTTTTGGCTGTTCTCTTGAGTCACTGATGGGCACAAGCCAGGGTTATAACCAGTTTGTGAGGACTGACTCGCCATGAATCTTGTTTTCATATGTGGCTTAGAAGGTCTGCCACCTTGGTTTATAGTCACAACTAAGCATGTCCTAAGCAGCATGAAAATATACAAACAAAAATTGACTCTCATTCTACCTCTGGGGTCTGGTGTTTTCTTTAGGAAGTAACCTTGTGAAAACGGTTTATGCTTAGTTTTGCCTTGGGGACTTACGTTACGTGTCAGCAACTGCCTAGAAATACCTTTGATTGGAAAAGTGTTTATTACTAAGTACCTCATGTACAGTATCTGTCTGGATATTTTAGCAAATTCTGTGACTTTTCCCAGAGATCCATCTCCACCTTCTTGCCCTGCTTGTTAAGCCAGCTCTGCAGCCTTGAATCTAAAGCTCAAGAGAATTCACTAGGCCCATTGGTGGCAGAACTCCTGGGGCACAGCAGGTTAAATGACAAGGAAGATGCCCTCAGTAGTTGGACCCTCTCTTAACCCAGTCATGTCCAGTTTATTATTTTCTCTCTGCCCACATCGACTAACGCGCAAGTGTTAACGGTTATGGATTGTTGAATGGAAGCCCCTGTGCTGTGTCAAGTCCTAGCATTTGGTTCCTCCCGCTCGCTCTGTGCTTCAGGATCCTGCTGGCCCATGCTGGGTGACACTCCCTGTTGCATTTCAGCTGTGCCTTTAGGAGGGGCTTATTTATGTCACATGTGATTTCCCTTATCCGGCCTCTCAAGATCCTTTCTCTCCAGGCTTCTGTAATGAAGGGTTATATTTCTGAGCAACTGGTTCATTTTTATCTTTTCTCACATTTTATAATTCCTTCTTTGCATTGGCTACATGGAGGTTCAGAGCCCCGATTGCAGATTCCCTCTGGAAAAGTGTGTAGAACAGCGCTGTCTACTAGAAATATAATAATGTGAGCCATGTATATAATTTAACATTTTCTGGTAGCCACATGAAAAATATAAAAAAGGGGGAAAGATAAACCCAGTTAAAATAATTTTATTTAATATATCTAAAATATTTGTCACCTTAACATTTAATCAATGTAAAAATTATTGCGTTTTCCTTTTTCTCCACCAAGTCTCTGAAGTCACTCTGGACTAGCCACGTCCAGGTGCTCCCTAGATGCAAGGCTGTCACATGCGAGTGTGCAGGGCAGGGCAGCAGCGATGGCCTCTAGCGGCACCATAAGCCTCCCCTTGGATCTGATGTCTCTCCTGTTCCCTTGTTTTGCCTTCTTCTTCTTAATGTTCTCACTTGTATGCACACCTAGAGCTTAAAAACAAGTGTCTTTATAAGCTGCCTAGGAGTATCCATTTTGAAACAAGAAATAAAATATTTTTCCAAGGAGTTGATGAAGGAAGTGCACACTTGGCACATTGGCAGAATGGCAGAAGGACGGCATATTTGTTTTTGTTTATTTTCTATTTCCCCTTCTTTTGAGCAGGGCCAGGCTGCTTATTAGTGTCTGGGCAGGGCCGGAGTCTACATGTCTTCATATAGTCATTTTTCTTGGGGAAGTTCAGGGAAAGAGAGGGAGCGAGGGAGGGAGGGAGGGGTGTGGAAACCAGGGCCTCCCACAGTTAATTTGAAGGATGTTTTCTTCCTTGAAGGCTTTAAGGGAGGATTTTAGGTTTTTAGGGGATTGTCCTAGATTGACTGGTGGTGTCCCAGATTTCTGTCTCCATGAACTGACAGTTGGAGGAGTTTGATTCTAAATGCGCATCAGAATTAATTGAATGACTCCAGCCAATCACCTCCCTGTCCCTTGCTGGAGAGGTGGTGGCCCCTTCCCATGGGTGTTACTGAGCCCAGCCCAGTGTGAATGAGGCCACCATGAAGTCATTGGGTCTGCATGTTAGACTTTTTGTAAACTTGGTGTACATGTTGACATGTACAGAAACATGGAAGACTTCTGCCATGAAGAATCTTTTTCTCTTAATGATTTCGCACATTTATCTCGCTTCAGTTGGTAGAAGTGGATGCTTTCGCAATATTTAACTCCTGTAGAATTTAATATCCCTTCTTGTCTCACTCCTCTCACACTAAAATCATATTTAACAATTCTTTATTTTTTATCAAATTTCTTGAAAAACAAAACGTGACTCCATATATGTAGAGAATGATATAGACTGATGTTTTTAAAGAAAATGCATCAATGAAGGAGAAAAAAAAAAGTTAGCCAGAATCCATAAGCAACTACTATTCTTATTTTGTTGTATGCCTTTCTAGTCCTGTCAGTAAGATAAATAGGCAGAGGGATTTGTAGCCTGTTTCATTTTCAACTATGTACTTGTTTATTCATTAGAAGAAAAGCTAAGCTTTAAGTACTCCACTCCTAATGTTATATGAACAATAAATTAGGTGTAAGTGGATGATTCTTTTGAAAGAAGAGGGGAACCTATTTCAAAATCATTTGTTGTTACTTGATGTGAATATGCATGTTTTATCAATTCTTTTATATTTAGAAAAACACCGATGGTGTGTTGAAGTCTACTGCTTATTCTTCTTCTTGTCAGCTATTAGATATCCTCTCTTTCCTGGGTATGAAGAATAGCCCTTCCTCATGCAAAACATGGTCTCCACATAGATCACATCAAATCTAGATCGTCTGCCTCTCCTCCCCTGCCTCCAAACACAAACACACACACACACACACACACACACACACACACAGTATAGATACTTAGAAGGTTGCTGTGCATGTATAGATAGCCGTCTCCAAAAGTCGAATTATTTCCGTTGCCTTTGCTATCTATTTTTTTCTATTTTGCCTGTACAACTATGTTTGTGACAGTTTACTTTGTTATACTACAATCCTAGGGTGAAGCAGAAAGAGACCACGATGGCAAGAAAGTCAGACTGGAGAAAGAAATCAAATCACAGCCATCATCTTCGTCCTCGCACAAAGAATCTTCTAAAGCAAAGTGAGTATAGAGATTAGGAACGGCCTAGGAAGGTGATGGAGTTTCCTGGGTGTTGATGTGGCAAAACGTTTTTCTTCTGCAGAATGAGCGGATTGACAGGCTTGTCCTGGCTCATTGCAATGATCTGCTGTGCTTGTTTCCTGGGGATTTCATCCATGAGGACCTTATAGGAATTAATAACTCATTTGGCAGCAAACTTGGATTTATCAAAAGCATTTTAACAGTGGAAAATTTTCTGAACACCTGGAATTAATATCTTTCTAAAGGAATTTTTACATAAAGAGAAGAAAGGTGCTATTATCATCCCTACTTTGCAGAATTGGAAACCGAGGCACAGAGAGATTAAACTGACCAGTCCAAAGTAACAGAAAGTCACTGTTATTCATGCTCTGATTTGTTCATACAATTGCTTCACAAAATTTTGTGGCAAAAACAAGTGCAGAGCATCACAATGCAGAGATCTAAGAGTGACAGAAAGAGTCAGATGTGAAGGTGGCAGCTGGGCTTGCCTGCTTATGAGGAAGGGACAGGCTGGGATGCAGCTAGTGCCGACTGAGTTGGTTAGGGAAAGTTAGGACCACTGGCGGACGCTGCCGGCTTAGTGACAAATCATACGACTTGACTCATTACTCATCAGTACGACTAGATTTTTCAAAGGCATCAAAACGTCCCTGAAATTTGGCCTTTCTACAAAATGGATTTCACACTTTTTGGTATCGTAGTCCTTTGTGTCAGCAGTCATGTGTCGTTGTAACTAAACAACTGAGTTAACTTGGCTCATGTTCTCCCAACTGAGTTAACTTGGCTCATGTTCTCCCTTAACCTAGTTTTGTATGATGTTTGATTCCAGAATACCTAGGCCCTCCTCTGAGCCCTCAAAGAAGGATATGCTTCCGCCCACACACGTGTCGTCCTCATCCTCATCTTCCCAGAAGCCAGCCAAGCCTACACAAAAGAGGCCAAAGCGGGAAGCACACCCCTGTGGCCAGGACCCTCCCAAAAGTGCCAGCAGTACCAAGGGCAACCACAAGGACTCTCCCATCCCCAAGCGCAGAAAAGCGGAGGGGAAGGGTTCTGGGAGCTCTTCAGAACACAAAGTAAGTGGGGGAGGCCGCTCTTGTAGCAAATGGGGATATATTGATGTATCTTTAAGGTCCCAGAAAGGATAAGTTCCTAATGATGGTATTAGGCTGGTGCAAATGTAATTGCCATTTTTGCATTGTTGAAATTTGCCTTTGATATTGGAATATATTCTTAAATAAATGTAGTTATGTTATACATCGTTTTAATGCACATTTCTCACTTTAGCTTTTTTTTTTTTGCTAATGACTTATTACTTGCTGTTTATATTTATTTTAGACTATGAAAATGATGTTAGACAAAAAGCAAATTTGAGCGATTTTCTTATTCGAGTTCAAAATGGGTCGTAAAGCAGTGGAGACAACTCGCAATATCAACAACGCATTTGGCCCAGGAACTGCTAATGAACGTACAGTACAGTGGTGGTTCAGGAAGTTTTGCAAAGGAGATGAGGGCCTTGAAGATGAGGAACCTAGTGGCCGGCCATCGGAAGTTGATCATGACCAACGGAGAGCAATCATTGAAGCTGATCCGCTTACAACTACATGAGAAGTTGCCAAAGAATTCAATATTGACAATTCTACGGTCGTTCGGCATTTGAAGCAAATTGGAAAGGTGAAAAGGCTCGATAAGTGAGTGCCTCATGAGCTGACCGCAAATAAAAAAAATCGTTGTTTTGAAGTGTTGTCTTATTCTGTGCAACAACAACGAACCATTTCTCGATTGAATTGTGACATGCGATGAAAAGTGGATTTTATACGACAACTGGTGATGACCAGCTCAGTGGATGGACTGAAAAGAAGCTCCAAAGCACTTCCCAAAGCCAAACTTGCACCCAAAAAAGGCCATGGTCACTGTTTGGTGGTCTACTCCTCATCTGATCCACTATAGCTTTCTGAATCCCAGCGAAACCATTACACCTGAGAAGTACGCTCAGCAAATCAGTGAGATGCACTGAAAACTGCAACGCCTGCAGCCACCATTGGTCAACAGAAAGGGCCCAATTCTTCTCCACAACAGTGCCCGATGGCACATCGCACAACCAACGATTCAAAAGTTGAACGAATTGGGCTACAAAGTTTTGCCTCATCCGCCATATTCACCTGACCTCTCGCCAACCAACTACCACTTCTTCAAGCATCTCGACAACTTTTTGCAGGGAAAACAAACACTTCCACAACCAGCAAGATGCAGAAAATGGTTTCCAAGAGTTCATTGAATCCCGAAGCACAGATTTTTACGCTACAGGAATAAACTTATTTCTCGTTGTCAAAACTGTGTTGATTGTAATGGTTCTTATTTTGATTAATAAAGTTGTGTTTGAGCCTAGTTATAATGATTCAAAATTCACAGTCTGAGACCACAATTAACGTTTGCACCAACCTAATAATTTTATATCAGATATTTTGTCGTAAGAAATGGTTACACTGTTTTGTTTTTGGTTTGAATGTTTGACCTCATACTTTTGTTATTGATTATAATGGGAAAAAATTATCCACTTTTCTCAAATACAAGCTGCTATCTGTTAACGTGTCTGTGTGTGTATGTATGTGTATGGACTGAGAGAAAATGTTACGTTTGGTTTTGTTGAGTATCTGTTCTCTTGAACAGTTTTGTCATATCTTTTTTATTCCCCACTATAGGCAGAGCCTACAGTTTTAGTTAAATCTATCTGGGAAAGTTCTTGACCAAGCTAAATTGTGCAGTGTTTGATTTCCTCTTTTTTGAACTCCTGCTTTGGGCTCATTTAAAGGGATTGTACATTTAGGTCGGTGATCTTAAATGTTAGAGTGTGATCTGTGCATGATTTTTTTTAAAGGGACCTTCTGGAGATACTGCAAATCCTTTTCCAGTGCCTTCTTTGCCAAATGGCAACTCGAAACCAGGGAAGCCTCAAGCGAAGTTTGACAAGTAAGATTTTGGATGCTTACTTCATATCCTTTATTTGCCCAATTCTTCTTCCTCCTCCTTCCCCCTCCTCATTTCTTCTTACCCTTCTTTGCTGACTCCCTCTTCTGTGCCTTCCTCCTCCCCGCATCCTTTTCTACGTTCTCAGCCTTCTTCAGTCCTCTTGCCTCCACCTAGCAATTTCAGGTTCATATGACCCACTCCCATCTCTTCTTCTTTCAGACAAACAGATCTTCACATGAAGGAGGTGAAAAAGTTGAAGCAAAAAGCAGAGTTAATGGTCAGTCATAGCTTTTTATCCCTTTGGTAGAAAGTTTTCTGATAAAATATTTCTAATCTCATTCTACAGTATTCCATACCACTGACTATATTGGGGGGAGGGGGGCAGGGGAGCAGCAGCAGGAGGGGTTGTGTGGGGCCTGACGTTGGCCACGTAATGTTAAGATCAGCAGGACCTTAAGGAGCGAGGGGTAAGGGATTCATAGTGAATTTTTTTTTTTTTACTCTATTCATTGATCATGGGCAAATATACAAAGCTCCTAGTCCCAAGTTTTATATCTAAATGAATGAAAGTTGATCTACCTGGTACTGTTTTATTTAATACATGAATGCTTCCTGGTCCCATTAAATCAATTCTTTGGATATGAAAAATAGGTCCTCCTAGTGAAAGTTGATCTATTTGTGTTCACCCTGAAATATTTTGAAAGTTGAAGTAGCCTATTTGCAATTCCAAAATTATCTTAAAGCCCTTGACAGACTAACCTGAGGGGACAGTAGACCAAAGCCATTAGATGACATTGTAAGATGAAGGCAAAGATTGTACTGTTGGTTAAAACATGCTTTAAAGAATGAACTTTCTCTGCCTGGTGTCTGTGGACTTTCTGGAAAGTGGGGATTTTGTTCTGAATTGCATACATAATTAAATATGCTTGTACATCTCTGCTGCAATATAATTAGTGTGTGCCCTTTGTCATATTTAAGCATCTAAACTTAATGTATTCCCCAAACCTAAACTTGGCAAATACCACGTGCTGAACTTTGTACCACAGAAGAGTGTGGGTTCTCTTTATTCTTCCCCATGCAAATATAACCACACACTCTAGAGGCCCACAGGGATCCAAATCAGATCAGTCCGTGATGGCCATCAAGGTCATGGCCTGGTGCTTGCAACCCCAGTGTGTAGGCTGACATCTGTCCTCAGGCAGGCTAGGGAGGACCAGGTCCCTATTCATTAGGGCAAAGTGTTTATTAAGTCCTTACCATGCTGGATGCTGAAAGGGGGTCAAAGACCAGCCCCTTTAGTCCTGTCTCTAAAGCGACCCTGTACCAGGATGACATGGGTCAGATGAAGTGAATGAATACTGTGCCAGATCATCGTGTCATCTCAGCCTCTTCCTTCCAGCTTTCTAACATTGTTGCTAGGACTATATGGATCTTTTGAGATTTGAAAAAGAGTAAATATTCAGTACTTTGTCAGCCAGCTACCTAAAACTTATCTTGCTATTGGACACTTTCAGCACTACATTCCTTCATTACTCAAACAAGTATTCTACATGAAACTCTGTTTTTGTTTTGCTTTTAATCTATACACAGGCACATCTTTTTTCTCCCTACCTAAGCCAACCACACATCCCAGGTTGTCCAGGACAGTTTTTTTTTTTCAGTAATTTTATTGTTGTTGTGAAATAAATGTTTTTTAAATTAGTTTCAACTGTACAACAGTGCAACAGTTATACTTTTTACCCCTCAAAGTGACAACCCTCCTCCCCCAATGCACCGCCCCACTCCCCTGCCCATATCATGCATATCTGTTACAATTCCCTTGACTCCACTCTTCACACTATACTCCACGTCCCGTGACTATATATATATTCAATTATAGTTGACATACATTATTATACAACACCAGCTTCAGGTGTACAGTGCAGTGATCAAGCCTCTACCCCATCTCCCTAACAAGACATGTGACCATCTGACACGCTACAAAATATTTACAACATTATTAATTTTATTCCCTGAACTGTCTTTCAAATTCCTGTGGCAATATTGTAGTTACATATTTATGTTGGCTAATCCCTTCCTCTTTTCCCTCATCCCCAACCCCCTCCCAAATAGCAACCATGAGTTTTTCTTCTATATCTCTGAGGCTATTTCTGTTTACTTTGCTCTTTCATTCAGTTTTTTAGATTCCACATGTAATTGAGATCATATGATATTTGTCTTTCTCCGACAGACTTATTTCACTTAACATAATAGTCTCTAGGTCCATCCATATCATTGCAAATGGTATGATTTCATTCTTCTTTATAGCGGAGTAATGACCCATTATATAAATGTACCACAGATGCTTAATCCAGTCGTCTACCGATGGGCATTTCAATTTCCAAGTTTTGGCTATCGTAAATAGCACTGCAATAAAAATAGGGGTGCATATATTTTTTCGAATTAGCTTCTTGGGTTTCTCTGGATAAATACCCAAGAGTGGAATTTCTGGGTCATACGGTAGTTCCATTTCTAGTTTTTTGAGATACCTCCATACTGATTTCCATAGTGGCTGCACCAGCCTGCAGTCCCACCAACAGTGCACCAGGGTTCCCTTTTCTCCACAACCTCACCAGCACTTGTTTGTTGATTTATTGATGATAGCCATTCTTACCAGAATGAGGTGGTATCTCATTGTGGTTTTTATTTGCATTTCCCTAATGATTAGTGAGGGTGAACATTTTTTCGTATGCCTGTTGGCCATTTGTATGTCCTCTTTAGAAAAATGTCTCTTATATCCTCTGTCCATTTTTTAATTGGGTTGGTTTTTTTTTTTTTTTTTGGTGTTGAGTTGAATGAGTGTTTTAAAATTTTTGGATATTAACCCCTTATCAGATATATCATTGGCAAATATCTTCTCCCATTCAGTAGGCAGCGTTTTTGTTTTATTGATGATTTCCTTTGCTGTGAAAAAACTTTCAAGTTTGATATAATCTCATATGTTTATTTTTTCTTTTATTTTCCTTGCCTGAGGGGATATATCAGTAAAAATATTACTGAGGGTAATGTCTGCAAATTTACTCCCTATGTTTTTTGGTTTGTTTTTTTATTAAATTATTTTTTATTATGAAATACACATTTTTTAGAATTAGTTTCAGCTGTACAACACAGTGCAATAGTTATACTTTTTACCCCTCAA